ACACCTCCCCCTGTGCCAGGGTGCTCCAACCTGGCCTTGGGCACTGCCAGGGATGCAGGGGCAGCCCCAGCTGCTCTGGGCACCCTGTGCCAGGGAACAATTCCTCATTGCCAATACTGAACCTGAATTTCCCCATCTCTGTTTTCCCCCTTGCTCCCTGTGCTGTCCCTGCTGACCTCTGCCCGCCCCTCTCTCCCTTCTGGGCCTGGGCTCGGTGGGGACCAGAGGGAGAAAAAGCAAAGACAGAGAAGGGGAAGGTGGGGAAGGAGTGAGAGAGAAGGGGAAAGCAGGGAGGAGGTTGGGGAAAGAGGAAGGAGAGGAGCGAGGGGGTGAGGAGGGAGCCGGGATGTGCGGGCAGGGCCTTCCTGCTCCTGTCGGGACAGGTCGCGATAGACCCGGGAGCGCCTAAAACCCCGAGGAAGAGGATGGAGGGAGGGAGGGAGGGCTCCGTGCGGGAGCGGTGCGGGTCCCTGGGGGTCCCGGCAGGAGCAGATGGAGCCCCCCCGCCGTAACCTTACCCGGCTGCGGGGCCTTCCCTGGGCCGGGGGAACATATGGGGAGCTCGGGGGGGCCGCAGGACGGCCGGGCTCAATCGCAGGGAGGTGAGGTGATGGGGGGTTCGGGGAGCACAGGCGGTGCCCGGCACGGCTCGGTGCCAGCCCCGGTGCCAGCCCCGGTACTAGCCCCGGGTGTCCTCCAGTGCCAGCCCCGGGTGTCCCCCGCTCCCGGGGCAGATGCGCGGCCTCGGCCTGGCGGGCAGGGGGGATTTGGGGCGGGGGCGATGCTGCTCTCGCTGCTTTCGGCCCCGGCAGCACAGCCGTGTCCCCGATGTCCCCCCGCAGCACAGCCGTGTCCCCGATGTCCCCGATGTCCCCCCGCAGCAGGGCCGTGTTCCCGGTGTCCCCCCTGCCCGTCGGGGCTCCCCGGGGCCACCTGTTAGCGACAGGGCCAGGCCCCTCCGGGGGCGAGGCGGGCAGGCAGACGAGCAGGATTTACCGGCTTCTGGCCACTGCCGACTTTTGCATCTGTCAGGGTGCTAATTATTGCCTTTAATAGAGACAAAGAACGGCTCCTAATGATGCTCCCTCTAATTCTCACCTGCTCCTGCCCTTCCTCCGCAGCAGCGCTCCCTCGCCGGAGCTCCGCTAATTGGGAAAGCTGCTCTGCTCATCGCGGCCTCCCCGCGGACGGGGGTGCGGGGGGGTTCAGGCACCGATACCGGGGTGCGGGAGCCGAACCGGCCCGGGGGGTGCGGGGGTGTCTGGTACCGATACCGGGGCTGCGGGAGCCGAACCGGCCCGGGGGGTGCGGGGGGTTCAGGCACCGATACCGGGCTGCGGGAGCCGAACCGGCCCGGGGGGCTCCGTCCCCGACGCCGATCCCCACCGTGCCCGGGCAGCGCTGCCCCTCCCGGCCCCGGCCGGCCCTGGCACAGCGCAGCCTGGCACAAGGCTCCGCTCCCGGGCACCGTCCCCACGCGCTGGCGGACACCTGCCCGCTCCTTGTCTGGGCTTTCTCCCGCGGCGGGAGAGCAGCAGGGTGGCACCGAACCCACACCCGGGGCGGCCCCTAAAGCCGGGGGCACCATCCTGGGGCCCCCCGAGCCGGGGGAAGGCTCCACCAGCGCCGTGTGTGCCCTGGGCGGTGTCTGTGCCAGCGCCGTGCTGGCCAAAGGCTGCGAGAAGGGGAAGGGGAATCTCCGCGGGGCTGGGGCATCGCCATCGCCATCACAGGGTGCGGGACACTCTCTGCAGCCCCCTCCGCTCTCCTGGAGGGGCTGGCAAGGAAGGGAAGGGAGGGCAGGGAGCAAGGAGCGGGCCCAGCCCCGCAGGAACCCCGGGAGCCGCCGCCGCCCGCGGGGAGCCAGCCCGGCCCGGCCGCCCGGGACCGCTCGGTTTGCAGGAAAAACCCAAACCAAACAAGGAATCCCCCGGGTCCGGCCCTGTTCTCATTCCCCGCCGGCGTCTGCGCTCCCCCCGAGCAGTCAGAATGGTGAATAATTGTGTATTTCTGCGGGTGCAGCCCGAAATATGGAAATCGATGCGCTGCCGTTTGTGGGGTAGGGGACATGGGGACCTCACCGCGGGACCCTCAGCCCGTCCCGAGCCCCCCGAGCTCCTTTTCCCCAGAAACCCCGGAGTCCCTTCCTCGGGGCGTGCGGAATTTCTCCTGCCCCAGCACCTGCACCCAGAACTGCCGAAAGCTCCCGGGCCACAGACCCCAGCGGCTCCGCGAGGGGAAAATGAGGGGTTGTCCCCCAATAGTTCCCTTTTGAGTGGATTTTCGTTGGGTGGGTTTTTAGCTGAAGGTCAGACGCGCAGACGCCGTGGCAGGGAGCGAACTCCCCAGCGCCGAGCTGGATGGTTCCTCTCCCCGAATTAACATGTAATTAATATTTCGCTTTTGCCAAGCGCTGCATTCGACTGACGGACATTTTCACGTTACCGACGCGGTACCGCTCGGTTCTTCCTCGCCGCTCTGATTCTAAATGGAATAAAGGAGGAAGGGAAAAAAAACCAACAAAAAAAGCCCCAAACCCAACCCTCAAACGGTTTCGATTCGCCGGCGAGGCAAACTGACAAAAAACTTCGCGAAAGTCAAGGATGCGCCTAAAATATTCCCATCCCTTCCCCGTCTGTCTCTGCCTCCTTAGAACAGCGAGGGAGAGGAAAAGGACATTTATTTAAAATGCTTTTCTTTTTATTTTTTTTTTACATTTTTAATTTTTATTTATTTAAAATTTCAACAGTGGATCACTTTTTTTCTTTTTTTTTTCTTTTTTTTCTTTTTCTTTTTTTTTTGCAACCAAACAAGTAATAAATATTATTTAGCAACTTTTTTATTTCTTTTTCTTTTTTGTTTGTTTTTTTTTTTGTTTGTTTTTTTTACAAAAATAAACAGATGATAAAATCTCTGCAAGGGGCAGCGATAAGAAAAGTTGTTATTTCAGAAACAAGCCCAACTTCTCAGTATTGCAACACGGACAGCGTGAAAGTTCCTACACAGAAAGAGCATTAAAGAGTTCAAACTTTGTTAAAGGCGGCAGGAACGTAAAGAAAAACCGAAACAAACGTGTTATACGCTTAAAAGTAACACAACCCACCAAACCCCAAAACCCAAAGGAAGGAAATCAAGGCAAACCGACCCCTTTTTCACTCATGAGGCTGACACAGAACAAGTGCACGGACGGGAAGCTCAGGCGGAGCGCACTGGCGTCGTTATCGGTCTATTTACAAACCCGCACCGGAGGGAGAACCGGGGCAGACCCCGCGGTCCCGGAGCCCCCCGGGACGGGCAATCCGGGGGATGCGAGCCGGGGGCGGCTCGGAAGGCTCCGAGTGTAGAAACGAGCCCGGGAAGGGGAGGGAAGGAGCGCAGGAACGAATGAACGAGCCGAAGCCCCTCCGCAGTTCTGGTTCCTCCGGTAGCGGCGAGCCCCGGCTCCGCCGCCCTCCCCCGCTCCGGAGTCCGCGGCAGCGTCGGGAAATTGAAATCACGGGGGGTGCGCGGGGTTACCGTGCCGGGGGTTCCCCCGCGTTCGGGGAGCAGGGCACGCCCGGGCCGGCTCCGTCCCCGTCCCCTCCGGCGGCCCCGGGAGCGGAGCGGGGCGGCCCCGCTGCCGTCTGTAGGTCCTGGCGGCGCCGGGGCGCGGCGGGAGGGACTCATTTGGTGTCGGTGGCCAGTCTGGGCAGGCTGGCCGTGCCCATGCCGGAGACGTGGTGGTGCGGCGGGGCCGACACCTGGCACATGCTGCAGGGGCACGGCATCCCGCCCCAGTGCTGGAAGCCGCTGCCCAGCGGGGCGGCGGCGGCGGCGGCGGCCGAGGGCGACTTGAGGAGCCCGTGCGGGGGCCGGATGGAGCTGACGGCCGAGAGGCCGGAGCCGGGCAGGGAGGCGCTGGACACGGCGGCGGGGGGCAGGATGGGGTGGTGCACGGGGTGCGAGGCCGGGTGGCCCGGGTGGCCGGGCAGCGGCGCCGAGTGCGCGCCCATGCCGCCGGGGCAGGCGGCGGGGTGGAAGCCGGCGTGGTGGCCGCCGTAGATCTCGCTGACCAGGCGCTTCATCTCCTCCAGGGAGTTGGTGAGCATGAGGATGTAGTTGCGCGCCAGGAGCAGCGTGGCGATCTTGGAGAGCTTGCGCACCGACGGGCCGTGCGCGTAGGGCATCACCTCCCGCAGCCCGTCCATGGCGATGTTCAGGTCGTGCATCCGCTTGCGCTCCCGGCTGTTGATCTTCAGCCGCAGCTGCTGCAGCTCCGGCTCCGTCATCTGCTTCTTGTCCTTCTTGGAGGAGGAGGACGACGACGACGAGGAGGACGACGAGGAGGACTTGAAGCCCAGCTTGTCCACCACCACCACCCCCGCAGCGCTCATGGCGCTGCGCAGCTCGGCGCTCAGCTCCGGCGGCGAGTCGCTCTGCGTGGAGCTGGACACGGTGCCGCCCGTGAAGCCCCCGCCGCTGCCTTTATTCCTGGCCGTGAGGAAGAGGTCATCGGGCTCCGGGGAGGACGGGCGGCTGGAAACCAGGCTGGCGTCCGAGTCCATGGCCCGGCGGGCGGGGCGGCGGCGCGCACCGGGCAGCCTGCGGGGAGGGGAGAGAGCCCGAGGGCGGCCCCGCGTCAGCGCTCGCCCCGTCGGCCCAGGAGCGGGACCGGCCCCGCTGCCCGCCCTCACCTCGCCAGGGGCGGCTCCCGCCCCGTCCCGGCCCGGCCCGTCCCTCCCCTGGCTCCGGGGCTCGGCTCCGCGCGGGGCCGCGGGCGCGGGGGGCACTCGCTCACTCCTCACTCACTCACTCCTCACTCACTCACTCCTCACTCACTCCTCACTCACTCCTCACTCACTCCTCACTCACTCACTCCTCACTCACTCCTCACTCACTCCTCACTCACTCACTCCTCACTCACTCACTCACTCACTCACTCACTCACTCCTCACTCACTCACTCCTCACTCACTCACTCACTCACTCACCCACTCACCGTGGCGAGCGGCGCCGGGACGGGCGAGCACCGTGGCAGCAGCAGCGCGCACCTTGCGGCGGAGCCGCGGCCGCTTTATATCCGCGCCGGGGAGGAACGATGTCAGCGGCGGGAGGGCGGGGGGCTGCGCCAATCCGCGGCGGCGGCGGGGGCACGGCTGATGTCACCGGGGCCGCTCGGGCTCCGCGGGGCGGGGGGCGCCGGCCGGAGCGGCGCGGGGAGCCCGGCGGGGGGGAGGGACTTTTGTCAAATCCATAATAAAACGCAACAACGACAGCGCCGGGAACAGCTGTTGGGGGGGCGGGACGGGACGGGAACGGGGACGGGGACGGGGACGGGACCGAGCCGCCCCCGGCACGTCGGTGCTGCCCGGTGCCCGGCCCGTCCGCCGGCACGCAGCGGGCAGCGCTTCCCTGCCCGGTGCCCCCTCCTGCCCCGAGCCCCGGCGTTATTCCCCCGTCAAGCCGTGCAAGGAGAGGCGCAGAAAAGCGGGGCTTCGGCCTCTCCGTTCCCCACAAGCGAATCGCCCCGAGCATCCCCCGGCTCCGGCCCCGCAGAGACCCGGAGAAGTTCCTGGAGCGCCCGCGTAAATCGGCCCCAAAAAAGCCTTCAGCGAGAAGGGAGCGGGAGAGGGGAGAGAAAGAAAGAAAGAAAGAAAGAAAGAAAGAAAGAAAGAAAGAAAGAAAGAAAGAAAGAAAGAAAGAAAGAAAGAAAGAAAGAAAGAAAGAAAGAAAGAAAGAAAGAAAGAAAGAAAGAAAGAAAGAAAGAAAGAAAGAAAGAAAGAAAGAAAGAAAGAAAGAAAGAAAGAAAGAAAGAGTAAAAGACGTTAACAAACGAACAAAAAATGACCTTCGGAAATGCCTCCCGCCTTGCTGCGCCGCTCGCCCGGCTCCGGAGTCCCCTGGCCGCGGCAGCTCCGCGCAACAGGGCCGAAGCTTCCTCGCACTGGGGTAAATCCCCCGGCCGCCCCCTCCCCGCCGCCCCCCCGGCCCCTTTGCCTTTGTTGTATTATTTTTACACCCGTGTGTTTCCCAGCTGGCCCGGCAAGCCTCAACCATCCGTTAAATATGTATTTAAAACGTTAAGAAGTGAAGCGTGGAAATGTGTTTGCCAACGGTTGCGGGGATGATCCGTAACAGGTCAATTAGGAAAATCTGTCCCCGCGACAGCCGGGCCCGCCGCCCGGCGTGTGTCCGTGCGTCCGTGTGTCCGTGTGTCCGTGTGTCCGTGCGTCCGTGTGTCCGCGTGTCCGTGCGTCCGTGTGTCCGCGTGTCCGTGTGTCCGTGTGTCCGTGTGTCCGCGTGTCCGTGTGTCCGTGTGTCCGCGTGTCCGCGTGTCCGCGTGTCCGTGCGTCCGTGTGTCCGTGTGTCCGTGTGTCCGTGTGTCCCGCTGCCGCCCACCGGGGGCGCGGGGCGGGCAGGGGGGACCCCCGAGGCTGGGGCTGAGCCCCGGGGGTGCGGAGCGGGACGGGAGCGGAGCTGGGCAAAGTTTGGGTTATTCTGTGGGGAGCGGCAGCCGCAGCCGGGCTCTGCCTTCTCCTGGCGGCTCCGAGAAAACGGGGCAACAGCGAGCACAACGAATTCAGCCCCGGAGCCGCTCCCGGCCCCCGGCAGGGCCCGGCAGGAGGGGGAACCGGCCCCGGGCAGGCCGGGAGGGGCGGCGGGTGTGGGCATCGCCCCCAGGGCAGCGAGGAAAACGCCGCAGCGCTCGCCTGCGCTCCGCCAGGGCTCGGCAGTTTCCCTTCCTAAGGGCTGGGACCTTCCCTTCTCCAAAGACGAAGCTGTCAAACGCACGGGGGTCCCGGATCCCCGCGGGGTCCGCCAGGCTCAGCCCCGGGAGCGGCGCAGCTCCAGCAGCGGGCCCGGCCCTGCAGCCCCCGCGGGAGCCCCCGGGGGCTGGAGAGGGGCCCTGGGGCAGAGCTGGGGGTCACCTGCCCGAGGGGACAGCGGGGAACGGCGGGGAACAGCCCCCGGCCATGGCCCGGACAGCGGGACAGAGGGGACAGAGGGGATGGACAGGGGTATGGACAGAGGGCAAGGATGGACAGGGGGCAGGGATGGACAGTGGGCAGGAGTGCCGGGGCGCAGCCGGAGCTCGGGGCCGCTGGCATCACCCTGGCATCACCCGCTGGCATCACCCTGGGGGCCCGGGAGGGAGAAATGGGCAGCGGGTTGGCTCCTTTTCCTTTTCCTTCCTTTTTCCTTTCCCCTCCCCCTTCGCTTTCCTCTTTTCCTTCCCCTTCCTTTTCTCCTTTTCCTTTCTCTTTTCTCCTTTTCCTTCCCCCCTTTTAATTTTTTCTTTTTCCTTTTCTTCTCTTTTCCGTTTTTTCTCGTTTCTTTTTTCCCCCCTTTTTTTTGTTTTTTTTGGGGTTTTTTTCTCGTTTCTTTTTATTTTCCTCTCCCCCCTGCAGAGAGGAAACCCCTCTCCAAGCCCTCAGCAGAAATCTCGGGATCTGAGTCCCTGAGGGAGCAATGTCCTTGGTGACCGCTGTCCGTCCGTCTGGACACGAGCTCTGTCCCGCCCGCAGCCCGCGGGGCCGGGATCGGGATCGGGATCGGAACAGGGACTGGGATCGGGATCAGGATTGGGATTGGGGTCGGGATCGGGACCGGGACCGGGACCGGGACCGGGATCGGGATCGGGATCGGGACTGGGATCGGGATCGGGATGGGATGGGGAGCGGTATTGGGGTCGGGATTGGGATCGGGATCGGGATCGGGATCGGGATTGGGGTCGGGATCGGGACCGGGATGGGGATGGGGATCGGGATTGGGGTCGGGATCGGGACCGGGATGGGGATCGGGACCGGGACCGGGACCGGGACCGGGATCGGGATCGGGATCGGGACTGGGATCGGGATCGGGACCGGGACCGGGATCGGGATCGGGATGGGGATCGGGACCGGGATCGGGACCGGGCCCGCCCGGCGCTGCTCTGCGGCCCTTTCAGGGGGTGCGAGGGACCGGGACGGTCCCTGCCGTGAGGTGACACATGAGATGTCGCACCTCCCCCTCGCGGAGCCGCCGCCGCCCCTCGCTGGCGCATCCCGGGAAGCGGCCCCGAGGGTTCCCAGAGGAGCCCTTCACCCGAACTTGATTTTGACACTAAAATGTGGAGCGGAGCCCATTTGCCGCCCTATGAATATGTATTATTTTTTTTTAATAGCGTCTGTAGACAACTAAGGCGTGAATGAAGGCAATCAGGGAACACGATGAAGTGATAACTTAATAAAAACCAGACTACTGCTCTCGTGCTGGAAATCGCTCGGAATGTCGCTGGGTTATTCCTGGATGGGGTTCATTGCCCGCGTCCCCCCAGCCCCAGGGATGCCCTCGGCCCCACTCGGGCCGGGAGGAACCCGAGGCACCGAGGGACCGAGGCCGGGCTGGGAGCGGTTCGGGAAGTCAGAGCTCGGGCAGTCAGAGCTGTCTGCGCCCATCTGCGCTCCAGAGCCTCGGGGAGCTCCCAGTTCAGAGCGGGGTCTCCGGGGATCCTCCCCTGGGGCCACCCCAAACCCCTCCGGAGCTCAGGAGGGCGGACACCACAGACATCAGGGGGTGAGGGCGCAGACACGGAGAGAGAAACTCCAGCAGTCAGGTCTGGCCCCTTTTCCCCCTTGTTTCCCTCTTTTCTTTGCATTCATTTCCTTCTGGCTGCGTCTCCATCAGGTACAGATGCATTTTGCAGTTCGGGCTTGCAGGTGCAGCCCAGCCCTGGTGCAGCCCCACCTGCCCAATTAACACGTTTGATACCTGCGGGCTCCGGGAAGCAAACTCGAGTTCTGTGAGCGGGGCAGGCGCTGCTCCTCCCTCGGGGCTCCCCCTTTCCCAGCGTTTGTTTGTGTTCACACTCGCTCCGTGCGAGCGCTGCAGACACGCGCGCCTTGCCAAAATCGCAGCATGCCTTCCCATTCAGGCAGAGACGGGAAAAGCTTCTCATCTTCACAGGAGTCACCCAGAGGGAAGCCTCGGAAATACCAGAGCTGATGTTTGTGATATCCGCAGGATTGAAAACATGCGGGAGATTGGCCATCTCCTGCTCTCTCATTCAGCGGGAAAAAAACCCCTTTTTATTTATAAACTTTTGACACTCAAGAGCCCGCTGTCAGCGAGAACACAATAATTAAATTGCTATTTAAAAGGCAGGCCGGATCCCGGGTCTGGTGTCTGTCAGGCTCGGGTCCCTCCCAGGCAGGGCCATCGCTGGGACCATCCTCACACCCCGGATTGACGGGAATGGTTTGGGATTGCTCACCTGCACAGGAGAAGCTTTGGGCTGAGCTCAGGGTGGCCTTGCAGGGCCTGGAGGAGCCCCAGGAAAGCTGGAGAGAGACAATGGCCAGGGGATGCAGGGACAGCACACAGGGAATGGCTTCACACTGAAAAATTCCAGGTTTAGATCAGATACTAGGGACAATTTCCTGCCTGGCAGGGTGGGCAGGGCTGGGATGGAATTCCCAGAGCACTGGCAGCCATTCCCTGGGTGCTGTCCCTGCAGGCCTTGTCCCCAGTCCCTCTGCAGCTCTGCTGGAGCCCCTGCAGGCCCTGCCAGGGGCTCTGAGCTCTCCCTGCAGCTTCTCCTGTGCAGGTGAGCACCCCCAGCTCTCCCAGCCTGGCTCCAGAGCAGAGGGGCTCCAGCTCTTGGGGCATCCACAGCATCCCCTGGACCCATTCTGTGCCTTTCTTCCCATGAAATGCAGGATAAGTTTCCAGTTCTCATTGAAGTTTCCTGACCGACGTTTTCAGAACCCTTTGTCAGACTTTGCCACTTGTGTCACTCTTATACTCCCCTTCTTCCCTTTTCCACTTCCCATGGCTTGAGTTTGGCGGGGAGCTCCTTAAAAATGAGCCAGCCCTGGCAAAGCTTTAGTGCTGAGATAACCCAAACCCGTGGATGTGTTTTGCTTCCCTGCAAACACTCGCTGGAAATCACTTTTCCCTCAGGTTATCCCTTTGTCCTGTCCCTACCCTGCGCTCATGAGGAAAACTCCTCCAGACTCCTGAAGCTGCAGGTGAGTGCAGCT